TGTCATATACTTCAGTGACAAATGAAAATCCAAAAGAATGCCTCATCTAATTCTTTCTTTTAGGTAGAATGTATGATGTCACTGAGTTGGTTCTTGCAGCTCATGGTAGAAAACACTGGTGGTTACTCTGCTTTGCGTAACTTCTCTCTCTCTCTGTGTGTGTTCATGTGTGTGTGTGTGTGTGTGTGTGTGTGTGTGTGTGTCTGTCTGTCTGTCTGTCTGTCTGTGTCTGTGTCTACTCTGCTGTGGATTCTGTTCACTGGAAGAATGACCTTGCAGAGTGAGCAAATTGTCTACATAATCCTACAGTCCCTCAAAGGTTCAGGGCACATGGCAGAAGACGAGGACACAGCCAGTTCTGATGGAGGGCAGGTATGGATATGACTAGATGGGACTGAAGGCATTCTGAGTCCTAACTGCCCTGATTGCCCCAGAGGAATGCTAGTCAATTTTTCCCTGTGTTGCTTACTAACAAACTACCTTAGAGTGGTATGTGAGCATTGGCCCTGCCACCAGGAAAGTGCCTGACTCCTTGATCATAAGATAAACCAGCTAATTCCCTCAGGGATGAATTCCCTTTTGTACTAATGCATGTATACACTTCTCCTTCTGAACTGAGTCCTGGAGCAAAGGAACCGCCTCCCGGACCATCCCCCACTGAGCACGTCCCCCAACGGATTCCACTCTGTGCAGTCCACATCCCCTTGCCTGTCTGTCTGGTCTCATGGTACCTTGAGGCTGGTTCTTATACACTGAGATCTGGTTGTTCTGGATCAAGGGAGCATAAAGCAATAGCCCAAGGAGGAGGGCTGGAAGTCCTTCATCAGCGTAAACCAAAGGAACTGTTCACTTACAAACTCACAGGGCTTCACTCGGTGCGCATTTTGGAATAACTCACACATGAAAAGCTATCTGCATTGCTCTTATATTCAAAATGTTCACTATTTCCCAAGAGCCTCATTTTCAGTCTTGTTTTCTCCATTCTGACAGAATTTGTATATTCTCTGTATAAAACAGCTTTTAAGCAGATTAGTTCAAACTCATTACACGCTGGATTACAGGGACCCCAAATAGACTCGCTGCCTGCCCCCGTTTTCTCAGCCACCATGTGTTTCTCTTCGCGTTCTCCTCATCGAGGTCTCCCATTCTGGCTGAACGTCCTCTGTGTTTTCCCTTTACTCATCAGATAACACTACAGGTCTCTGATTCCTCAGACTTGATGCACAGTGGTGTGAAAGCACCGCAGTTCAATCACTGGCTTCCTTTTGCAGTGCAGTGCCCCAGAAATTATATGAGACGTTCAGTCCCTCATCATAGAATAGATGTGTGCAGTGGTCCTCCCCAATCTTAGATCCTTCTCAGTGTTCTAAGCATCTTCAAGGTACGTGAGGCCCTTACCACCACCAGATGCTTCTTCGCCTGAATAGAGAGGTCATGGGGGCCCTGGGAACCTGACCCGTTGATCCTGGACATGGTGCGGAAGCTGAGCAGAGAGGCATGGAAAAGCAGGATGCCTGTGCTTGCAGTGTGCCCCCTGCAAGGACGCCTCCAGTTCCTGCACACCTTTGCTGCTCTTACAAGCAGGCACTGAGGACTGAGAGGTCCTACAGCCCGTACTTTGCCTTATACCACACTTTTCTGGATGTGAGCCCAGAGATTGAATCCATCTCCGTGATGCCTGGGCTGATCTGAGCTGGGTCATAGAGCTAAATGTAAAATAAAACTACACAAATTCTAGAAGAAAACAGAAGAACATCTTGGTAACTGAGGCTTAACAAAAGATTTCTTTTTTAAATATTTTTATTGAGAAACTAATAACAGTGAGACAGTTGCACAACCAATTACTAGTACATTTTCAATAATTAATACATTGCATATTGTTGTCTTAGTGGTTATTCATTGTACAAGATGCAGACCTGATATCCCATCTCAAACACTATTAGAATAAAGCTCTCCATTCATTGAATTAAGAGAATGGAGTTGTATATCTATCCTATTTTGAGTATACAGATACAAAATGGTCGTTCATTTGTATCCCCCTTTTTTGGTAGTTTTGTCACAGAAGGGCATTCCATTGTTTAAATACT